AAAACAAAAACAAAATTATTTTTAGGTCAGCAGGATGGCTGAGAGAATAAAAGTATTAGCCACACAAACTTCATAACCTGAGTTTGCTCCCCTAAATCCACCAGCTCCACAGACTCTGTCCTCGTATCTCCACACTCTGGCCATAGTGGCTCATGTGCACTCCCTCCTAGCCCCCACATGCAAAATAATGATAAGGTTAGAAAAAATAAGGTGACTGAAGCCAGGCATGACAGCACACACCTTTAATTACAACATTTAGAAGACAGGCAGGTGAATCTGAGTTCAAAACCAGCCTGGTCTACATAGCAAGCTAACCAAGGCTACATGGTGAAGCACTACCTCAGAAACAACAACAAAAAAACCTAACACCTTTTGTCCTTCACTTTCAATTAGAAGAATCTCAAGAGGGCTGGAAAGATAGTGATTAAGAGTCTGAATGTTCTTCTGTTGAACATAATGAGTTCCAAGATAGCCTGAGTTACATAGTGAAACCCAATCTCCAAACAAATTTCATGTGTGTGTAAGTTATAGTTGTTAAGATAGTCTGAATATTTCTAAGAATGGACTCAGCCCTCTTCCAGTGTCAGTTTTAAAATGACCTCAATGTAAGGACCTCTCTTGTGTGTATATACAGGATGTAAAATATACTTTGTAGGAGGAAAAAAAGCTTCAAAATACTCAAAAGATACTACAAATGTTGGCTCCTATATACTATACTGAATTGAATGTGATCTCTTTAAAGATTCCATTAAATGTAATATAACCAACCAGACTAGAGGATGTGGTTTCTATGAAGATTAAATGACAGAGAGAAGGGTGGGGAAGAGGTAATGGACAGAAGATGGAGCTGTTGATGGGTATGAAAACTAAATGATTTAAGTCATTTGCTTTCAATTAAACAAACAGAAATTCTGACATTTCCTAAGAGTCTACTGTGTGGCCATTAACTCCAAATGAAGTTATTAAATATTATCTTAGCGTGGTGGTGGTGGTGGTGGTGGTGGTGGTGGTGGTGGTGGTGGTGGTGGTGGTGGTGGTGGTGGTGGTGGTGGTGGCGGCGGCGGCCCACGCCTTTTATCTCAACAATCATGAGGCCAGTCTGGTCTACACAGAGAGACCCTGTCTGGAAAAAACACATAATAATAATCATGTCCAGTAAAGGATGAATATAGAACTTTTATATGCAAAATATTAATTTTTATCCAGTAGTCTAAGAAGCTACAAAAGAACCAGACACAGATTCTCCTCTTCTTTATATTTTTAGTGTTTCGAGACAGTGGACTGGCAGTCCAGGAACTCACTTTGTGGACCAGGCTGTCCTCAAATTCACAGAGATCCACCTGCCTCCATCTCCTGAGTACTGGGATTAGATGTGTGGGTCATGATGCCTGGCTTGGGATTCTCCTCTTCTTGGACAGGGTTTCTTTATGTAGCCCTGGCTATCCTGGAACTGGCTCTGTACACCAGGCTGGCCTCAAACTCACAGAGATCTTCCTGCCTCTGCATCTGGAGCTGGGATTAAAGGCGTGCGCCACCACAGCCTGGTGGGATTCTCTTCTCAAAGCTTCCTCAAAGAACCCATCTCTTCAGAGACTAAAGGTCTTTGTTGTAAATTCTGGACAAATTTCAATTTGCTAAAATTCCAATGTCCTTGTATTGAAACAATGTTTCCAATCTTAGCAACAGTGATACAAATGAATGTTTAATAGTTTAAATTTCAGTTAAACTTTCTCAGAGAACTGAGAGAAAAAGACAATATTCGAACTTTAGAATCGCTCCCTACTGAAACTGCTGCTTCAAAACAAATATATGAGGCTCACTGCTTTAATGGCTAATCTACATCCTAAAACAGTGTTACCCTTTAAAAATATAAAATTTTGGGCTGGAGAGATGGCTCAGAGGTTAAGAGCACCAGCTGCTCTTCTAGAGGTCCTGAGTTCAATTCCCAGCAACCACATGGTGGCTCACAACCATCTGTAGTGAGATCTGGTGCCCTCTTCTGACGAGTAGACATACATTCAGACAGAACACTGTATACATAGTAGATAAATAAATCTTTAAAAAATATATATATATATAACATTTTAAGGAAAGGTAATGGTCATTTCAACTCATTTTAAAATTTTTATTACTATTGTGTATGTGCATTATGCGTGTGTGGGGGCATATCAGAGGTCAGCTTTGTGAAGTTGGCCTCTCCTCCCACCTTTATGTGGGTTCAGGAATCAAACTCTGGTCACAAGGCTTGCACACCAAGAGTTTTCACTCTCTAAGTCATCTTGCTGACTCTCAAATTTACATACTCTTACAATAATATGCGTTCTATGTCACACATGTTGCCTGTCTCATATTTAGGTTGTTTCCTTTCTTTTTTACTTTTTGAGACAGGGTCTCACAAAGACAAGGCTGGCTTTGAATTTGCTATTTAGTGGAGGTAGTGGCACATACTTTTAATGCCAGCACTGGGTCAGCAAAGGCAAGCAGATCTCTGAGAGTTCAAAGATGGCCTGGGTTTTCAGGACAGACAGAATTGGTTTTTTTTTTTGGGGGGGGGTTGTTTTGTTTTTTTGGTTTTTGGTTTTTGGTTTTTTTGAGACAGGGTTTCTCTATGGCTTTGGAGGCTGTCCTGGCACTAGCTCTTGTAGACCAGGCTGGTCTCGAACTCACAGAGATCCACCTGCCTCTGCCTCCCGAGTGCTGGAATTAAAGGCGTGTGCCACCACCGCCCAGTGACCGACCGAATTGTTACACAGAGAAACAGTTATATAATTACACTGGCAAGCAAAAAATAAACTCTCACAGAGGGCTGATGGCTCAGTGGTTAAAAGCACTGGCTGCCCTTTCAGAGGACCAGGGTTTGATTCCTAGCACCCACATAGTGTCTAACAACTATTTTTAGCACCAGTTCCAGGGGATCTGACATCTTCTTCTAGACTCCTCCAGTGTCAGGCATGCTCAAGGTGCACAGACATACATGCATTCATACCTATAAAACAAAATTTAAAAACATAACAAAACAAAACCCTCAGGGGTTAGAGTGATGGTTTAGCAGTTAAGAGCGTTCATTGCTCTTACGGAGGATGCAGGTTCAGTTCCCAGCACCTACAAGGTGTCTGACAATCACTGTTAACTTCAGTTCAGGGGATGTAATGCCACCCACCTTCAGACCTCCGTGAGCACCGTGCATGCAGATGATGCGCATACATATATACATACATACATACATACATACATACATACATACCAATCATACACACAAACCTCAAAACATTTTTAAACAATTTTCTAGAACTCTCACCATATCCTCCCCCTTAAAATTAGTTCCAGTGTTTTCCATTTCAGACCATACATTTGCAATACAAGCACTCAGGAGGATCACTCACTAATTCAAGGACAGCCTACATATTCATTTCCAAGCTAAATACACAGCAAGACCCTATCTCAAAACAAAGAAGTTACCTATTCCAAAAACCTTCGTTGCTTCCAGTAACAAGAGGGCTTGTTGTTTTGAAATAGAATCTCATGTACTACAAGCCGACCTCACACTTACTATGAAGCCAAGACTAGCTTGGAATGCCTAGTTGTCTTGACTCCAGCCTCTACTTCCCAAATGCTGGATTACAGGTATGCAACAAGGTATCATTACTTTTCTTCTGAGGTTTGTACACACACACACACACACACACACACACACACACACACACACACACTCTACAGGTATGCAACAAGGTATCATTACTTTTCTTCTGAGGTTTGTTCACACACACACACCTCTTACATTATTACATTATTATGGTTTGTAATGTGGTTTCTTGGGATTTATCTGGGGTTTTTTGTTGTTGTTTGGTTTTTGACGAAAGCACTTGCTTTGTAGCAAGTGGTGGCCTCAAACTGAGGCAGCAATCCTCCTGCCTCAGCCTCCCAAACATTGATTACAGGCCCGTGCCGCCATGACTACCTAGTCTTTTTCATTTTAACTGGCAAACTCTTTCCTAAAGAGGGGGATTATATTGTGAATTACTTTTACTCCCTCTTGACAAAGAAGAAACTGGACAAACACTTGCTGAATCTCTCTAGTCGCTTGACACTTCTCTTTTTAGTCGTCAAAATACATCTTTGACACTTTGTGAAGGTCAAGTTCATCTAGCAGCCCAAAGCCAACACACTTCTTCAATGAGATGAATACGGCCATCTCTGTCGGGAGAGGTATCATCACCTTCTGACTCATACCACTTGGTTTGATTTGGGCAAATGAATCAATGCCTAAACTGATTGTTGTACACGGACTATTTAGAACTCTCTGTGATGAAGTTGGGGAAAAATCATCTCCCCAAAGTAGGCCAGAATCACGCACACGCCCCCTCCCCTTTTCTGAAACTTGTATCAGTGATGCTCCCACGCTCGCACTCCCACCTGGGAGAAAGGCTGCCACATTACTTGCTGCGTACCCAGTGGCGATGCAAACACATCTAGCGCTCTAGGTCACGGTCACAGGGTTTAAACCCACGGAAGGACTCCTTGGTGTGGGGACCCCAAGCCCTGGCATTTCTAGCCGGGTTACCCTGACCCCAGCCTCCTCACTCCCCGCACCGCTCTCTCTGCCTCCGGTCTCGTGATGCCCCCGACATCTGGGTTAATTCAAGGACTCGGGGAGGCAGAGGGCACGGCCGTGGGCAGAAGCACCGAGGCCTGAGGAGAGAGCTCCAGCAGTTTGAAAAGCTCGGGACCCCGAGAAACGCACAGGGCCGGGGGGGGGGGCAGGGACCAGCTGGCTGTAACCTCAGGGTCACTCGCCTCCTCCTTGGCCAGGCCGCCGGGGGGCGCTGTGGGAGCTCGGGCGGGTCCGCTAGCCGGCCTCTCCGGATGGAACCGGTCGGGGCGCCCCCCACAGTGGTGGTCTCTGAGGAATCCGCCAGGCAACCGCTGAGACGGAGAAAAAGGAGGCGCTGCGGGCGCACAGGCGAGGCGAGGAGGGCCTCCCGGCTCCACCAGCCCCTCACCTTCATGGCCGCGACCGCCTCGGCTCGGTCGACTCTACCCGGGAACTCAGCACCATAGCAGCTTCCTCACACAACGGACCTCCTTCCTTCTAAGGCGGCGAAGGCTGCGCCTCCCGAGGCCGACTGAGCGTCCCGACGTAAAGGGCGTGGCCACGTTCGGATCACGCCCCGGGAAGACGCCCAGCGGAGGGCGACGCCCACCAATCAGAAACAGTTCTTTGGGGGGCCGGTCACCAGAGCCAATGAAATTGTAGGGAAGGGGCGGGGCCTCAGGCGCAGCCCTGACAGAAAAAAGGGCAGGGCAGGGCAGGGCAGGGCGGGGCGGGGCGGGGCGGGGCGGGGCTGGGCGGGGTCCAACACAGCGGCTCTCCTAGCAGAAGCTGCTGAGACAGAATTGGCTTCCTACTTTGGGTGACTAGGTTTCCCTGCCAGAGGCAGAAAGAACTGTGATGAAGTGAGACACGCCGTTTGTTTGGAGGCTTTTGTTCTGACCTGCGGAACAAGACCCTATTCTCTGAATATTCTAGATTCCCACATTCCCACGTTATGAGAACCTCAAGGAGAGGTGTATCACATGCTAGGAAGAACCACTAATAAGGTTTATTGAATTGAATTGAATTCCAATTGTTCTTTTGTTTGTCGCTGTTTAGCTTGTGTGGGGGGTAAGAAGTCAAAGAGATCTGCCTGCCTCTGCCTCCAAGGGCTCGGATTAAAGATGTGTGTCCCCACAACTGGGTCCAATTGGCCTTTATTCTTTTAGTGGCTGTTTAATATATTTTCAAAGATGTATTTATTTATTATGTATGCAGCACTTTGTCTGCATATGTGCCTGCACATCAGAAGAAGGCACCTGATCTCATTACAGATGGTTGTGAGTCACCCTGTAGGTGCTGGGAATTGAACCCAGGTCCTTTGGAAGAGCAGCCAGTGTTTTTTTTTTTTTTTTTTTTTTTTTTTTTTTGGTTTTTCGAGACAGGGTTTCTCTGTGGCTTTGGAGGCTGTCCTGGAACTCGCTTGGTAGTCCAGGCTGGTCTCGAACTCACAGAGATCCACCTGTCTCTGCCTCCCGAGTGCTGGGATTAAAGGCGTGTGCCACCAACGCCCGGCAGCAGCCAGTGTTCTTAACGTCTGAGCCATCTCTCCAGCCCCACAACTGACCTTTTAAATGTTCAGAATTAGCCAAATCCTAACCCTTTGAAGGAATTCACATCCCTTCAAATTGACTTGAGAGGCAGGGAAACAAGTAACAAATGATGGTATCAATTTCTTCAGCCTCACTGGACTAAGGCTTTAATTAGTTGGTTTTCCTATACTTCTTTCTCTCACTTCAAAATAATAACCGAAGTTTTACACTTGAAGATGTTGATTCCTTCTTAGTAAGACCCAGGCAGTTCTATATGCGCCACCTCCCCCCCACACACACACACAGAGGATTTCTTTGTGTAGCCTTGGCTGTCCTGGAACTAGCTTAGTAGACTCAGCTGGCTTCTCATTCACATAGATCCATCTGAATTCTGCCTCCTGAATACTGGAATTAAAAAATGGGTCACCACTGCCTGACCTCTAGTACTTCAAAACAAAACAAAAGCCACTCTAAAATTCTTTGCATGTACTATACTGCCTGCATGTGTATTTGTGCACAATGTGTGCAGTGACCAAGGGAGCCAGAAGAGGATGTTGGGTCCTCTGGAACTGAATTACAGATGATTGTGAACCATTATGTAGATACTGGGAACCAAACCCAGGTCCTCTGCAAGAGTAACAGTACTCTTAACCACGGAGCCATCTCTCCAGCCTCTGTTCTATTCCTTTCTAACAAACCTGCTTAGATGTATTGTTTGGCAGAACACTCATACAGCTGGACACTGAGGCACAGGCCATTAGTCCCAGGACTGAGGAAGCAGAGTCAAACAGATTTCTTTGAATTCCAGACCAGCCAGTTCTATATAGTCAGACCCTGCCAAAAACAACAACAACAACAACAAAAAACATAGGGAGCTATTTCCTTGGACTGACTTTGTCAAGCCTACTTTTTTCTTCAAATTCTATTGAGATAATGCAACTTGTCTTGGATAAACCTAACTTTTCTTCTTTGGGAAATCCCAGAAAGCTGGTCATCCCCCATGTTAGTGGCAGCAGCTGAACTTCACTGACAGAGAAACTAGTAGAAAGTACTTATTCTTTCTTATCATCCAGGCAAAGAAAATTCAATAAACATTTGCTAGTGGGGCTAAGGAGATGACTCAGTCAGTAACGTGCCTACTGTATAAGGACCCGGGCCCAGGTGACCACCATTGGGAATGAGGTTTCTTTTGGCCATGGAGTATTTTTCCCCCCTGGTTCTAGAGATCAAACTCAGAGCACTACACCTGTGCTCTACCACTTCGTGTTGCCTCAGTCACTTTCTTTCTAGAGGATGAAAAGGTTCTAAACCTGACTGGTGGAAGTGCCCAAGGGAATAGAGTCTTTGTGAGTGGATGATTCCTAACAACCTGGAGTTGAGACTTGAGAAACTTCATTTTCAACTGATTTTCTTTTAGGTGTATGGGTGTTTTACCTGCCTATATAGACACACATGACCGAATATGTGCCTAGTGTCTGAAGAGGCCAAAAGAAGGTGTCAGGTCCCTTGGAACCGGGAGTTCAAAATGTTTGTGAGTTGCCATGTGGGTGCTGGGAATCAAACCTGGGTCCTCTGGGGTCCATCTTTCTACTCTGTTATTTATTTTTGAGATATCTTCTCATCCTATAACTCTAGCTGGCCTAGAACTCAATAAGTAGACCGGGCTGGTCTTGAATTCACAGAGTTCAGACTGCCTGTGCCTGCTAAATGTTGGGATTAAAGGTGTTGTGCGCCAAGTTGTTTTTTTTGTTTTTTGTTTTTTGTTTTTTTTTGGAAACAGGGTCTCATGTATCCCAGGATGGCCTCCACCTTGCTATATAGGTAAGGAGACTTTGAACTCTGGATTCGCTTGCCTCCACTTCTCCAGTGTTAGGATTACTGTGGTGGACTAATAAGACTGGTTTTGAAACTTCACACTTTCAGTAAAAGAAATGTGTTATGTGATGGAATGTTTGTTCATTTAATTCTCCATATAAAATATTTTTCTTTCGACTGCATGCTAATTGTACCAATTATAGTTTGAGAAAATTTTCCTTGCTCACTTATGATAAACTACTACTTTGTATTTCAGAGAGAAAAAGAATTGCCAAGACACATGAGGCCATTTATTGTAGATCCATCATTTGCTTAGGGTACAGTGGAATTGTTCTCTGGGCAGTGGGGTATGTTTTTATTTTTGGAATTTGTTTGTTTGCTTTGTGGGGCAGTGGAACAGGGTCTCTCATAGCCTAGGCTGCTCTGAATTTGATGTGTAGCTGAAGCTGATCCTGATATCCTAGATCCCCAAGCCTCCACCCTACTTCTGGGATTTCAGACATTTTATTTATTTTTATTTAAAATTAAATGTATTTTAATTAATAAATAAAATACAACTGCAATATATTTATTGGCTACCTGCAATGTGTCAATATATGCATAAAGAAAAAATATCTTTTTCTTTTTTATAAAGTGCTGGAAGTCAATCAACTTGGGGATGCAGTGTTATGTGCCTGTGGTTACAGCTACTGAGCCAAGATAGTCCCTTGAATCTGGGAGTCTGAGGCCAGCCTATCTGAAAACAAATAAAAAATAATTTGAAATCTCTCTCACGTTGAAGAAGCAAACTGTCATGATCTAAACCTTTTCCAGTTACTGAATATTCTATTCGTTCACTATCATGTGTTTGTAAGACAACAGGGTGGAAAGTTATCACTTCACTCTCTTAAGAAATTAACTCATAGCCTGGGCATGGTTGTGTACACCTTTGATCACAGGACTTGGGATGCAGAGACAGAGGCAGGTGGATCTCTTAGTTTGAAGCCAGCCTGGTCTACATAGTGAGTCTGGGGCAACCAGAGCTGAGACCCTGTCATAAAAAGAAAGTAATCCATGAATGGAATACATTATGAGTATCTTTCAAAGTCATTCAGCAATTTGCTCGACTAGTCTTATTTTGAAAAAATTCAAATTCATATATGAAATAGAGTATAATGACTCAGCACTTCAGAGACTGGAGCAGACAGATCTCTTTGAGTTCTAGGTCAGCCTGGTCCACATAGTGAGTTCTAGACTAGCCTCAGCTACATAATGAGAACTTGCCTTAGACAGACATGGACAGATAGACAAATATAGAATAGTAAGTCTCTATGTTCCCCTCACCCAGTTTTAATGGTTCTCTACATTCATGCTTTTTTTGGTGGCTTTTGTTGTTTTTCGAGATAAGGTTGTTTTACTGTGTAGCCCAGACTGTTCTAGAACTCACTCTGTAGACCAGGCTGGCCTCGAACTCACAGAGATTACCCTGCCTCTGCTTCCCGAGTGCTGGGATTATGACCAGCTCCATTCTTGCATTCTTATCTCTAGTACTGGTCTTACTCTATCCACCCTCACCCACTGCTCATCTGACTTACACTGTTAGCTTGGTGCATGTGGCTGGTTAACTAGATATGAAGCAGACAGAAACGTGTGAGAATCAAACCAAGTTTGCTGTGTTTTATGGGTTCTAGGTCACTTTCATGATTATAACTAAGACAAGGTAATCCATCTTCTCTGTAGTTTTGTTTAAAATTCATGATTTAAAAGATTATCTTGCCAGGCAGAGGCGGCACATGCCGTTAGTCCCAGCACTCGGGAGGCAGAGGCAGGTGGATCTCTACAAAAGCTAGTTCCAGGACAGCCTCCAAAGCCACAAAGAAACCCTGTCTCGAAACACCAACCAACCAACCAACCAACCAACAACCAAAAAGATTATCTTTGGGGCGTGGCTCAGTTAGTAGAGTGTCTAGTTTAGATCCCCAGCACTACATAGAGCCAAGTGTGGCGATGTATGTCTGCATCCCAACACTGGGGATGGGAGAGCCAGGAGGGTCAGAAACTCAAGGGCATACTTGGCTACACAGTGATTTAATTGAAGGCCAGCCTGGGATACATGAGAGAATTTCTCAAGGCAGAAAGAAACAAAAAACAAACACAAAGAAATCTTGTTTAACCCAAGTATGCAAGTGGCAATGTTGTAAATAGATAACAAAAATCTCCTCAGTGGGAGTCAGT